TCAGCCAGTGAGCAGGAAACGGTCTGTATGTGGGATCCGAACCCTCGGCGGGAGCGCCACCACCTCCCAAGCGGCGCACTGTAGCAGTGCGCCACCAGGCCGGCCCATAATGAGAGTTTTTATCATGAAGAGGTGTTGATGTTTCCAAATGCTTTTTCTGTATCAATTGATATGATCATGTGATTTTGTTTTATTTTCTTCTTTAACCTGTTAATATGATGAGTTACATTAATCTTCTAATGTTAAACCAGCCTTGCATCCCTGGATTAACCCTGCCTTGTCATGGTATGTAATTACCAACTTTGCATTCCTGAAGGAAACCCTGCCTTGTCATGGTACATAATTCTTTTTATATATTGCTGGATAGTATTCACTGATTTTTTGTTGAGGATTTTTGCATCTATATTTATTAGAGATATTGGTCTGTAGTTTTTTGTTTGGTTGGTTGGTTGTTTTGTCTTTTTTTTTTTTTTTTTTGTATTGTGTTTGGTTTTGGCATCAGGGTACTATTTAGCCTCATAAAACGAGTAGGGACGTGTTTACTCCTTTTTTATTTTCTGGAGGAGATTGTGTAGAATTAGGGTTAATTCTTCCTCAATATGTTTGGTAGAATTCTCCAGTGAAACCATTTGGGTCTGGACATTTCTTTTTTGGGAGTTTTTAAAACTACAAACTCAATTTCTTTAAAACTTATAGGGCTATTCAAATTATCTATTTTATACTAAGTGAGTTTTGGCAATATGTGCTTTTCAAAGAATTGGTCCATTTCTTCTAAGTTGTCAACTTTATGTGAATAGAGTTTGAAGCATTTTGGATGTGTTGTCCCCTCCAAAACTCATGTGGAATTTTGATCCCCAATGTGTTAGTGTTGGAAACTGATTGAGTCATGGGGGCGGATCCCTCATGAATGGATTAATGCTCTCCCTGGAGGAGAGGGGATAAATGAGTGAGTTCTTGCTCTATTAGTTCCCGGGAGAGCCCATTGCTTAAAAAGACCCTGGCACCTTCTCTCTCTCTTTCTTGCTTCCTCTCGCCATGTTATCTGCTTGTATCCGCCAGCTGCCTGCCACTTTCCGCCGTGAGTAGAAGCAGCCTGAGGCCCATGTCAGATGCAGCTGTCCCAGAATCGTAAGCCAAATAAACCTCTTTTCCTTATAAATTACCCAGTCTCAGGTATTTCTGTTATAGCAACACAAACGGACTAAAACAGAGTTGTTCATAGTATTCCCTTATTACACATTTAACATCTGCATGGTCTGCCATGATACCCTTGTTTCATTCCTGATATTGGTAATTTTGTGATTTGTATCTTCTCTCTGTCTAGCTAGAGGTTTTTTGACTTTATTTTCAAAGAACCAGCTTTTTGTTTCATTGATTTTTCTCTTTTTCTTTGTCTTCATTTATTTCTACTTTTATCTTTATCATTTCCTTCTTTTGCTTGCTTTGGGCTTATTTTGTTCTTTTTCTTACTTGCTAATGTAGGTGCTTCGAAGATTACTGATTTCCACATTGACTTTGAAGTTTTTTTCTGGTATTTTATATTTTTTGCTGGTGATGCGAATGGAAAATTTTCCATTATATGTCCTAATTGTTGTTTTTGATTATAAGAAAACCATAGAGTGTTTTTATTTATTTAATGGGCTACTTCACTGATATCTTATTTTTGTAGTTTTAAGATCAATTTTCTTGGATTTTGCAGGTAGGTAATTATATGTCAGTAGTTCTATTTTAATTTTGTAGTAGAGTTATACTTTTAGAAATATAAACTTTGAGCAAACATATAAAATTAGGAAATAATGTAAGAAAATTGGGGCGATAGGGCCGGCCCGGTGGCGCACTGGATAAGTGCGCCGCTTGGGAAGCGCGGTGGCGCTCC